AATGGCAGATACAGTGACAGGGTGCATCTATGTCACTGAGGAGCCATCCATCCATGTGTCTAACTTACTGGGTTTCTTGTCCTGATAGCCCAGGAAAGCACCTGTTGTGCTTTCCATTCGTAAGTTCAATTATAAAACCTTGACCTGTCCAAAAGCTCAGGGTGATTCAATGACAAACCAGTAATTCATTCCTGTGCTAAGGAACTACTTCTAGAGTCATCAACTGTTTTCTCTTTACTCAGACATGTCAAACTCCTCTCCCACTCATGCCTTACGAAAATAAATCCTCAGCCAGCTGCCAAAAGCCTTGTTAATGCGGTGCTGAGAGCAAAACCCTAATAAAGTCTCTAAATATTTACTATGCGTCTGAGTTACAGCACTGACCAGTTCCACCCCTATTAAAATCCGCTTGCATTCTCCAAACACAATTATTTTAGGTCACTGACATACCAGCCAAGGAAATGACAAGACTGGTGCATTACAGTAAAAAGAGCAAGCAGGACCTAGTTCTGTATTCAGGTCCTGCCATTTATCGGCTGCCAGATACTTTGCAAGTAAATATACCTTTTGTTTATTTTTTTCTGTTTTCTTAGCTGTAAACTGGAGACAGTAATGCTAACAGTATTGATTAAGGAAAATGTATATGCCTACCTACTTATACCAGTTGAAAACAAATAAATAAGTAAAGCGGACATCAGTGGCTCATGTCTCTATCCCTAGCTACTCAGGAGGCTGAGGTCTGAGTGGCCTGGTTTGGAGTCAGTCTGGGCAGGGAAATCAATGAGACTCTTATCTCCAATGAGTCAGCCAAAAAAGACAAAAGTGGAGGTACGGCTCAAGTGGTAGATTGCCAGCCTTGAATGAAAAAGCTAAAGGATAGCTCCCAGGCTCTGAATTCAAGCCCTAATGCTGGCAAAACAAAGCAAATAATAAAATAAACAAATATATAATAAAATAGGAAGGAGCTAAATATACACGGAAAGGGGAGGGGAAGCATGAAGCATTCGTTTTAAAGTTGTCATAAACACAACATGGTCCTGAAATTCTGAGTTGTGCTCCCATTTCAAGTGGGTTCCTCTCTGAGCTAACAAGAATGGTAGGCCTTGGAGCACTGTCATGGAAGTGTTGTACACAGCTTATCTGGAGAGAGATAACAGGATGATTAACTTACAGTGCCAGGATCCTGAGCATGAGCAATTGTTACCGTTCTCAGAAAATGAATGGATCTCCAAAGACCGGAATCAACCTAAGGAGTTGTCTACCACAATAGTTCTAAGAGGACTCAGAGGCCCAGTAACTGAAAAGTCTTTTTTTTCCCTAATCAATATAACTAAATAACAGCAAGTCTACTGTGAAATAGGCATCATGCCAAACTCTATAAATACAGAAGATCATTTAATTCTTAGAAGGAAGTATAATTACTGCAATTTTACAGATAGAAGAATTGCAACTAGAAAGAGGTTAGCTATGACTTTAGGATCCCACAGTGAGGACACAGCAGTAGTAGAGTTTGAACTCACATTGGAATCGAAAGCCCTCTTTCTTCAGTTACCACGATGCCTTTCCAGAGCAATTCATGCAGCTGCAGAGGAAGGGTTTCAAGCCAGATGAAGTGGGAACCCAGAGAGGCTAAGATGAGTGGAAGAGTCAACATTCACAAAAGGGGGCAGGCAGGACCGGCACCCTGCCATGGCCCACTCTCTTGCTCTGCTCACCAGAGCTGAGTGAGGGACCCTCTATCAACCGCCCATTGCTTTGACAGTTTCCAAATGGGCAGCAATAGGACAGCTGTACTTCAGCCCTGATGCACAACCTAAGGAGTGGCTTGGCCTGGTAGCCATCTCTGCATCTCACATCACCCTTCTCCAGACCATAGCAGTCCTCTGGATCTCATTCCAGGTGTGTCTCCCCATCCCCATCCCAGTACATTTGCGGGGGGGGGGGGGGGGGGAGGGGAGGAGAGACAGAACTAGCGTTCATGTTTTAACCCTCAGTTTCCCACAAAGTAGGATCTCCATAAATGCAAGGCTCATCAGTGAAGATGTGGTCTTCTCATAAAGTCTGCATGAGAGGACTTAGGTAATGTCTTGAATCCTGAGAGGTTAGGGACTAATTATCCTGAAATAGTTCTCAATCATTCAGGGGGTTTCTTTAACTATGACATCTCCCAACTGGATGAGGACATGAAGGGTCTTTCAGACTTTCAACCATTCAAAACACTCTTTGTAGGCTATTCCATTCCGTGTGTGTGTGTGTGTGTGTGTGTGTGTGTGTGTGTGTGTGTGTAAGAGTGAGAGAGACAGAGAGAGAGAGAAAGAGAGAGAGAGAGGGAGAGAGAGAGAGAAAGAGAGAATGAGAGAGAGAGAGAGAGAGCGCTGGAATTCAGGGCCTTGGCTTTCTCAGCTTTTCACACTCAAGGCTAGTGCTTGACTTATTTGAGCCACATCACCACTTCTAGCTTTTTGCCAGTTAGTTGGAGATAAGAATCTCTGCGATTTGTCTGCTTGGGCTGATTTCAAACGGGGACTCTGATCTCAGCCTCCTGAGTAGCTAGGATTACATGTGTGAGCCATCTTAATAAAAGCAAATGAAGCCAGTGGGACAGAAGTTGTCAAGTCCATTTTAAAGGTGGGAAATGTAGGTCCACAGGAGTGAACAAGGTTGTCATCTGACTCCTTTGTGATTTCATGCTGTCTAAATACATTCCAGTTTGGGATTAACAAGACTACAGCACAGCAATGCAAAGGGGGTGGCAGGGAGAATGCAATGGAAACAAAGAGAAAAATCACCAGGAAAGGAGGGAGCAACTGCACTGGAGGTTGTCATTGACACTGGATAGTGGGTGACCCTATGGCCCTTGAGCCGGCTCTGAACTCCTCGCCCAGGGCTCTGTGTCCCTGACTCATCCGGTTGCATGAAGGCCCTGGGAGCACAAGCAAACCGAATTCTTCAGTACAGGCTAAAAACAGGAAGTCACCAGTGGCTTTGCTCGGCTCTCAACTTGAGTCCCCCAACACTTGGGGTCAAGGGTGTCCAAAAGACACCACAGGCAGCTCCCTGGCAGCTAGCCCTCACAGGGGTGCAGCAGCTCCCCAGATGAGTGGAGGAACTAGACACAACTTTCCAAGGAGCTTCCTGAGGGCCAAGACCCTTCTAGGAGCAGGACAAGGGAGCCCAGCAGAGTGGAAGCCAGGGACTCTATAACTATCTTCTGATTCAACAGAATCTCTGGGCTCACTGTGAGGTAACAGCTGTGTGACCTCAGGGATACAAGCTTACTTGATACAGCTTAGTTCTTTCATCTGAAAAGAGGAGGCCACCCTCCCCTACAGCACTTTCCTAAAGGTGAAGAAGGTACATTGGGGAGCTACTGCAAGCTTTCGGAGTCTATTATTAGCACCCAGACAGTGTGCTACCTACTGTACTTCCCAGCCTGGGATGCTGCTGCCTCCCTCCCCAGAGCTAAGAGCAGGAGGCAGTGTGGGTAGGTTGGACCCCACCTCACTCCCTTTCTCTGCCCTCTCTGGAGCCCAGGATCCGCTGAAGGTGAAGTTCTACCAGCCCCTAGCTGGGCCTAGCGCCCATATTTATGACTGTTTATTTCAGAGCAAGTAGAAAGGAGAAATTAGAGCCATAAAAGACAGGACAACAGACCAATAAAATCCAGCTCCCAGAAGAGTCAGAGGGAGGAAGAGGCAAAAACTGTCACCATAGCAACACAAGACAGTCAGAAACACGTAGGAAAAAAACAGCCTCCTCTCTTCACGGGGGAAGAAGCCCTGGAGCCTCACTCAGGGCTATGTGAAAGCCAACAGACCCATCAATCCTAAGACCTCCCTGGCCCCCAAGTCCAGACCTGGTGGGGAACCGTTCTCCTCTTGGCGGCATCATAGAGTCTAGCCCTGCCTGTCTTGAGTTCCCAGCGGTAGGAACTCAAGGCTGTGAGAAGGGTCTGGGCACATCCAGAGGAGGTAGTGAAAGTTTCTTACGGAGAAATGAAGGAGGTCTTTGGGGTTTTAGGAGATACCAAGGCTCTGAACTCCAGCCCGCTGGCCCTGCCCTGCGTTCCCTAGAAAACAAGGCCATGGGACATGAAGGCCAGGCTCAGAGTTCAAAAAGGTGGCCCCCATCATCCTGGCTTCTCTCAGGAGTAGCTGTGGGATTCTGGCGTCTGAGGGCTGGTGAGCAAAATGGCTTTGGAAGGCCTTCCATGCCGAAGCTCCTGGCCCTGGTCGCTGGGGACACGGGCCAGCATGCCAGAGCAGCTTGGAGAAGGAACAGGACCTGCGGGGCACACTCCCGGCAGAGGTGTTCTGGCCCTTTCAGGGGAGAGACAAAACAGGTGTCTCCATCCAAAAAGCAGGCCTGGCCTGAGACCAGCGTCTGGGGAAGTGGGTCAAATTGTTCCCGAAGCTCGGGAAGCAAACGTCTCTGGCCAGACTCCGGCTGTGAGTTCCAGGAGGGAGGCGGGGGGGGGGGGGGGGGGGGGGTCCCAGGCACAGCAGCCCGAGCTGCTCAGAACCTCTGCGGCAGGTGGCGGGAGAGGGTCCAGGTGTGCAGGGGCCCGGGGAGGAGGCTCGCCCGCGCCTCTGGATGGCGGGCGGGGGGGGGGGGGTCGCGGACCTGATGATGGGGGGCAGAGGGCTGGAGTCCCCGGGAAGAACGGCCCTGGGGCTGGAGATACCTGGGGGATGGGATGGGAGTGGCTGAGGGGCCATGGGGTGGTCTGGGAAAAAGAGTACCATTAGGGGACCGGCCCCTGGCGGCCCCTGGCCCGGATCGCGGGCGAAGGGCTCCCCAAGATCGGGGCCCCGCGCCCCACTCCCTCCTCTCCCCCAAGGCTGCCCGAGGTGTCCGGGCCAGGATGGCCAGCGTCGGCTGCGCCCGCTCCACTTCGCCCCGCACACGGAGGGCCCCCGCATCTCCTGGAGCTCCAGGGTCCACAGAGCGCCGCCCGCGCTTCCCGCCGCGCCCCGGGGCCGCATCCCCACTGCGCTCACCCGAGAGAGTCGCCGCCGCCCTGCTCGGCCGCCTGCTCCGCCGCCGCCGCCGCCGCCGCTGTGGAAGCCTCTCCCGCCGCCGCCGCCGCCGCAGCCAGCGAGAAGGCGCGGAGCCCCGCCCCTCCCCGCCCCTCGCCGGGCCCCGCCCCCGAAAGACCCCGCCCCTAGCACGACTCGCCCCGCCCTAGGTGCGGTACCGCCCCAACACTCTCCAGACCCCGCCCCCTAGCACCAGTCTCCTCGCCCTCCTAGGGCGCCCACACCCCCAGCCCGCCCCTGCCTGGCCCCGCCCCCATCTCGGCCACGCCCAGCCCCTAGCACAATCCTACCTCTAGCGCTAACCTCCCGATCTCAGCTAGGGCACGCCCCCCGCTAGGCCCCGCCCCACCTCGGTCCAGGCTACGCCCCGTTCCAGCCCCGCCCCGGCGGGATTCCATCCCAGGTCACTAAAAGCATCCCCAAGCTTGCCTGGGCCAGCGATGCCTTGTGGATCTGGCGCCAACCGGGCCCACTAGCCCTTGTCCTCTCTCAGCCTTGGCCTTGCCCCTTAGGAAGCAGCCTTAGGAAAGGCAGCCCTTTCCATTTGCACACCCTGAATTCCTCCAAACCCACTCCTCAAATACCCAAATCCTCAGAGCCCACAGAGGCGCGCCACTCTCACCCCGTGCCAGTGCACTCAGCCTGACCACCCCCACTCCCAGGTTCCTTTGGCTTGTGAATCTTTCTTTGCTCCCAGATCACAGGTGCCTACTCTATTAACATTTATATCCAGCCTCAAGGGTTGCATTTATCTGTGGGATACACTTAAAAAGTCTTTCCAAATGCTTAGTCTAAAAAAATGCAATTACCTCCCTAAGATAGTGGTTCCCGCCTGTAATTCCAGCGCTGAAGGGGCTGAGGCAGAGGATCTACCTGGTGATTGAGGACAGCCTGGCTTACATAGCAAGATCCACTTTCACATAAATAAAGTAAGTAAGTAAATAATTAAGTTACCTAAAAGAACGCTCACACCTGTAATCCTAGCTCCTGAGGAGGCTGAGATCTAAGGATCGGGTTCAAAGACAGCCAGAGCAAGAAAGTCGGTGAGATTCTTATCACCAAATAACCACCAAGAAGCCAGAAGAAGAGCTGTGTTTCAAGTGGTAGCGGGTAAGATCAGAGACAATGCCTGGGCCCTGAGTTGAAGACCCAGGATCAGCACCCCCACCCAAAAACAATCTGTAATGGAAGGAGAAAGTAACGAATTACGGGTTCATTGTCATGGTCATTGTTTTAAAACATCTGCCACAGAAGCTTTTTACATTAGAGAGAGGGAGATTCAGGAAGTGCAGAGAGGACTAAGCTGTGCCAAACAGGTTGTGAGTCAGAACTCGTGTGTGTGTGTGTGTGTGTGTGTGTGTGTGTGTGTGTGTGTGTGTGTGTGTGCCAGACTCCAGTTTGGCTGTTTCTTTTCCCAGTCAATCACCCAGAGCATCATGAAACTTCTATGAAAGCTTCCCATGGACCCAGGCAGTGTGCCTGGCAGGAGCAGCTGTGCTTGGGGAGCATGCACATTGGAAAGAGGAACCAAAGCCCAGGTCTGGAGTGCAGGAAGCACCAGCAGGACTTTGTCAGGTGCATCCCCTTCCTGAGCTCTAAGGAGGACTTGTGCTTCCCAAGCCACTGTGGGTCGGACAGGCTTTTGTGAGCTACTTAGTGAAACGCCTGCACTGACTTTGGCATGAATTCACTGGGCAAGAGGACTCAGTCTAGTTTAATAAGCTATTCCCATTGGGAAGGGTACCTTGGGGTATAAAAGAACACTTTTTTCTTCTTCGTTTGAATCTCTCAAGGCCTAACTTTGTTGTTAATTCCTACAAAGACAACTGATTTTATCTTTGTGTGGCCTTATTACAAAAGATTTTATTTCCATGAACTTAGCCATGACATGTTTCCCAAACACACACACACACACACACACACACACACCTGCTCCCACACACACTTTCCAGAATTGCAGAACTTCTACTTACTCTGTCCACCTTGAACTTGGCCAGACTTTGTGAAGGCATGAATGATTCAGCCACAGACTCCATCCCTTCATGTGAAACACCATTATTTCAGAACCTAGGAGAACTTTTCACTTTACAGGGCTCTAATAACATAGTTGATGGTGGTGAGTTACAGCTTATTTGATGTATGAGATTTTTGCTTCCACACACTTAGAGGCAGCTTTGGTTTCCATAATTGAGGGATACCTGCATGGCACTGCCCAGCCCATCATGAAATAATAGGGTTTTCTAATTGTCAGTGTGGAATTTAATAATTAAGTGTTTCCTAAGACACAATAATCAGATGAAATAGTCTCTCCACTTCATCTGTAATGCTAATAACAAGTTTAGAAGTTGTTATAGTAAAGACTACAGTGAAATTAAAGTGCCATTTAGGGAGCAGGTAAGCTGAGATCGAATTTCTGAGGGTTCATATTCACAGTATAAGTTGGCTTAACTGAACCTTACTATCTTAATTAAGTGTAAATGGAACAGTTCCAATTCCAAGGACATCTGTGTGTGTGTGTGTGTGTGTGTGTGTGTGTGTGTGTGTGTGTGTGTGTGTGTAAAATTGATTGACTTTTACCCAATGTTAGGCACTGTGCTAAAAATACAATAAAGACACTTGTCCCTGATCTTGAGGACACAGACAGACTGCCAGCCCAGACTATGACAGAGCAGAATAAGAAAGAGGCTGAAGACATTGCTGTGTGGTTATAGGACCCAGGAAATCACTGTGACTGAAAAATCTGGGAATGGGTTGTGAAGCATAATCCTTACAGATGAGTTAGACTTTCAATAGGGAAAAATAAAAGAGATAAAGGTATTCCAAAGATAGAGAAGCAATGGCGAGAAAGGGATTGGGGGGGGGGGTGCTCCATGATATCAGGAGACTTCCTAAATGGAGGTAGAAGCTGGAGACCCAGAGGGTGGGTCTGAGAAAGGTTGCACTTTATCCTGAGAAGCCCCAGAGGATGAGGGGACCACCACTGAGTAGAACCAGGAGACTGAGAGTAGCTTAAATGTCCTCAGGCACAGGGATGGGAGAATAAAGAGTGAGTACCACAGGCAGAGAACTATTGTCCTGTCTAGGGGCTCTAGGCTGCCCTCCTTGGGCAAGGCTCTGCAACCTCACATTTGTAAACATGTTGTCTGCCAGATTCCCAGAGATATGCACAATACTGAATCCCCTAATATTATTGAATGAATAGGAGAGTCATGGAATACGACATCCTCTCTAGTGATACAGCCCCAAGAGCGAATCCTATCCAGGGTTCTTCTCCACCTACTGACACCCATCCTAAGGCAAAGAGAAGGTTCCCTCTGCATCTCTCAACCAACAGATTTTCCTCCCTCTGCATTGTACCATGTTGCTGGGGAAAGACTGGTTCTGTTCCTGGACGGTTTAATGTCACCCATCTGGTGTGGCTTCCTCCTCAACTCCAACAATGAAGGTCATTTGTTCCAATGCCTTAGGGACAGTGTGGCACTGTGGGCTTGGACTTCTGTCTGCTGAGGATTCCTATAAAACTGGAAATCTGATCCAGTCACCCCTCTGAAACATTATTTGCCACACTGTCTGTCTGCTTCCATTGAGGACTTGGTATGTGTTAAGTTTCTTGTGGTCAGGGGCCTTTAAGAGAGAACACTCCAGCTAGATTAGGAGTCAAAGCTGAACAGGAATCCTGATTCTGCCAGTCACAAGCTATGTGAACTTAATAAAGATTGCTTAAGCATTTGAAGTTTGGCTTTTCTCTTTCATAAAATAGAAGCACGAAACTGCTTCAGAAGACTCAAGTAACAATACCTGCTTCAAATAGCTTTGTAATTGGGCAACAAAAGCTACGTAAAATGTTACACAATCGTGGATGTGTGCCCCCTCTAGGTGTCTTAAAGTGTGCCAGGCACACAGTAACTAGGCATTTTAATCTCATCAGTTAGCAGGTTTATTTATTTATACATGAGACTGAGAGATCCTGTGTCCTACAGCCCCAAAAATGTTTTCTCCACCTTCTTTAATACAGGCGGAAAAAAGTATTTTTGCATTACCAGCTTGCTGATCTTCAACCAGAATTATATATTATTTTCCCTTTGGTATTATTATAGTGACCTCCAAAGGTAGTGTTTTTTCCTTGCCAGTTGCTGGCCAGGATCCCTATATGTAGCTAGAAGCTTCTACAGAAGCATGAGCCAGGCTTCAGAAGGAGCATAATAGATTTGATTATGAATATGGAACCAATTTCCACAATTGGCATTCAGTATATTTCCTTGTTTACAAAAGCCACAGCCCAAACTATGTACAAAATTTTTGCAGTGGCTGAAAATCCTTTCCTGTGGCTGAGCTGACACCTCTAAGACAAGGGCTCTGATTTTATTGCTTTTTGAAATATTTTATTTTATTGTAAAGATGATGTATAGAGGAGTTACAGTTACTAGAGTAAGGTAATGAGTACATCTCTTGTCGAACATTGTTACCCCCTCCTTTGTTTGCTTTTTTAATTGCTCAGTATGTCAAGATTTTTCATTGCTTTGCAAATGATTCCCCTTCTGCTCTGAATGATTTCTTATCTGGGTACATCATTCATTGATTTTCTTTCTTTCTTTCTTTCTTTCTTTCTTTCTCTTTTTCCTTTCCCTCCCTCCCTTCCTCCCTTCCTTCCTTCCTTCCTTCCTTCCTTCCTTCCTTCCTTCCTTCCTTCCTTCCTTCCTCCTTCCTTCCTTCCTTCCTTCCTTCCTTCCTTCCTTCCTTCTTTCCTTCCTTCCTCCCTCTCTTTTCTCTCTCTTTCTTTCTTCTTTCTCTCCTCTCTGTCTGCCTCTGTCTGTCTCTCTCTGTCTCTGTCTCTGTTTCTCTCCCTCTTTCCCCCCTCTCTATCTCTCTCTGTCTCTCTGTGTCTGTCTGTCTGTCTGTCTCTCTCTCTCTCTCTTTCTCTCTCTCTCTCTCCTGGGAATGGATCTCAGGACCTGGTGCTCGACCACTTCAGTCATGTTGCCAGACCTTTTGCTTTTTAGTTGTTTTTCAGATAGGC